GAAAAAGCATCTCTTTCTTGCACACTATTTAGGATTTGACTGATCTGGCTGGATAGTTTTGATTAATAGTGAAACTCTCATTACGACGGAAAGGGTCTGGCCGGTCCGTTCTGGCAAATCGAAAGCGCCCTATGAATCCTGTCCATCTGGGGGTATACTAATTCTCTGCTATGTCACTGCGTTCCGCCGCAGAGAAAACGTTTAAGTTCTAATCAGCAGAAAGGCAACAACACGTTGAAATAGGAAGGACACTACCAGTTGTGTCGAGTGACTAACGCGAGAGGGGACAAGGCTTAAATACCGAGATGTGACGTAAAATCCCTAGAGGATCAAACTGCGGCCATAAATGCAAATTCCGAACATAAACACATCTCTTAAGCACCAGTTGAAATGATTACCGATGAAAATGATTCTATGGCGATAGAAAACCGAAAGCATCCGTTTGCCGTTTACCGTAACCGTGGTGCATAACATTTCTGATGTTATTTGTGTGTTTGTTTATTAATAAAGGCTTTAGTAGCCAAGACGTTCCCGTAGTGCTGCAGTGTCTTGAGGAAATGCTAAAGAAGAGAAGAAAGCAGGTAGGAAAGTTGCATCGTTTGGAAATTTGAAAATCCTTAGAGGACAGTAACAACTGCATGACTCATCAGGTTCACCACTACAGAAATTTTATGTGCGCTGAGTTGAAAAAATTGATAAAAGCCTATTGGACCTGGTAACCTGTAACCAGGGGGAAATCTCTATCCCTCATAAGCTCTGCTTCTCGGGGATTTCCCCGCCACAGTCATTCCTTTCAAATTGTATGCTCATTTTAAATTTAATATTAATTAACTATTTATTATCTTTTCTATTCTACTTGAAATTTATTCTGTGTGGCAAAATAATAAAAATTAAAAATTAAAACCATAACACTATTGTCATTTGCAAAATCGTTGTCACCTAAATACTGAAAACCATCAACGAGGAGACCCAACTATTTTCCATGTGCAGTTTTATTCCAACGTGAAGCAACTTCCAGTTCTCTCATCGGCTATTACGTCATTGATGCGCCTTTGTTTACTCGGAGCGTGGCAACGTTGTTACCATATAAACTGTCGTGGTAACCGAGAAAATAATCAGGTCGTTTAGCTCGTAAAGACAAGTATAATTTAGTCATGCTGTGTTTTCCCAGTACTGCGCTGGCTCGACATTCGTTCCCTTATAAATATCTTCAAGAAAGTCCTTAAGTCTCATTATTCAAGTTTTACGATTTTCTGATGACAACGTTTCCTTCATAGTGGAGTGTAAAATGATTTTCCTTTGCTCCGCAGTCAACCCAGTTATTTACCTCACGTACTCTTTTTTCCTCCTTTCTAGTCTCATACTAAAGTGCAAGCAATACTCGACAGTGAGAGCATGGGCACTGGTTTGTTTCGACCGGATGTCAATGACCCAGAGCTGAGTAATGCTGATAGCACGACAGCCTGGGAACTAGCTCTGTTGGAGACTGGACACTATCATCCAGCGGTGAGGATTGCGGCTCATCACGTGGCCGAGGGAGCGCCAAGCAAAGGACAGTTCTCTACTATGATGAGAATGTAAGTTAACTAAATCATTTGTGCTGAACGGTTGGACGAAAAAAATGTATGTAATCCTTCTAGGCCTTGTGGTTCGAAAAGTAGACAACACTATCCACTGGATAAATCATTATCCAGTGAATAACGCAATTACTTTTCCTATTACTTAGCCCGGTTCAAACGTCGCATTCCCTCTGTGCCCAATTCAATGCTATTGTTATCGCTAAATTGTAACAGATTTGGCACATGTGAAATACGACATTTTAAACCGAGCCTCAGTAAAAAACTCTTCCATGTCACAAAAACATAGTCATAGAGAAATGCTAAAAGGAAAAATGAAAAATGTGGAAAGCCACTAGATAAGAATTAATTAGGTTTACTAGAGTGAACCAGTCTAGTATGCATTCATTTGCAATATAGGCGTACAGCCTTGGCATTTGCCTTTTTTTTCGCCTTTAAGACGCTTGTGCTGCAAATGAATGCACCCTATAGTGGTGTATTAGTGAGCCTAATTAATTCCTATTTAGCTATTTCCCTTATTTATTTTTCCTTTTAGCATTGTTTGAAGGGGTTATGTAACACTATTTCTTAGTTTCTTTTTACAAAGCCAAAACGTTTGTCACATCAATTGAACTCCAAAAATAATGGTCAAATTTATTAAATTATGAAAAAAGCTGTTTCCTGTCCTCAAGAATAGACATGCATTGAAACTTGAAAAAAGTTGGGTTAACTTTTCAAGTTTAAATGCTATGCCTGGAAAAAGTACCACAAAATTTGCCATGATTAGTGTTTCGTGGTGAACTTTGTTTGCTATCTTCTTCATAACTCAGGGGCGCCCAACGACGTTTTCCTCCTAAGTACATTGAAAACACTTTTTAGGCTATCCAGAGTAATTTTAGTTCTCTAAATTTAAGTAATGACTCAAGCACCTAAAACAGTGCTCGCACCTAAATTAGCAATATCCTCGTGACATATCCTCTTTAAGACATCGTCATTGCCATTGGTTGTATATTCTGAAATCCACAGGTCGCCTTTGGAATTCTGGGAACAGTATAACTCGTCCGACATGAAACTTAATCCTGACATGGTTGAAAAGGCACAAAACAGAAAAGAAGTGAACTTTAAGAGAATAAAACACATGAAAGAAGGGGACTGGAAAAGCTCTGATATAGAGTTGAGCATAAAAGCAGCTCTGGACTTTACTGAAGCCAGCAGTGTTGAAGTGGTATTTTCTTTGCCAGTGAATGCAGCAGAGAGATAGTATTGCACTTGTGTAAATAGTTCCACGAACACCACATGAATGGATTGCAGTATTCTTTAAAGTTAAGAAGCTGGAGTTTCTCCCTTACGCTTCCTTTGTGCTTGGCAAACCTCCCAAGTGCATTTATAACTCCACTATTGTTCAGCTGCAGCGTTAACCACCTATGTTCTAACGTCAAAGGCCCTCAGATAGTAGGGAGCTTTAGCAACGACGACGGCGACGGCAAAGAGGACGTCAAAAAAGCCATAGGTTTATTACGCAAAACAACAACTTTGCGCGTGCATCACACTTTTTTGTACATTTCTTTACCGTCCTAGCACGACTACGACGTGAAAGTGCCTAATTGAAAGTTTATGGAGGACGTAAACAAGCGACAACGAATCTGTTTTTCTCTCTCTAAACTTGAGTGCGGCCCTCAAGAATTCAACTCCAGGGAAATTCGCCTACACTTGCCGTTTTCAGCAAATTGGAATAAACGCGACAAAGATTGAAAAAATGGGAATTCATTTTAAAAGCTGACGTTTTCGCTGCAGTTGCCGTCGTCGATGCTAAAGCTCCCTATTAAGACGAGGGCAACTTCAAGGACGAAAAACCCTTTAAGTTAGTCTCCATAACGATGAGCGAAGCAAGGCGAAGCTAGCTTTTTGCGCGAAGTGCGAGACGAGCACGAATTGCGAGACGAGAGGAGGAGAAAATAAATTAAAAAGAAAAGAAAAAATGAGAGAGCAAGTTAACCAGAAATATATTATAGTTGTTTTTATGACCAGGGTTGCTATTTTCTAAGACTATAAATTTGCTTGTAAAACCTTGGTAAAGTTTACCAGAGAAAAAATTTCCCTCGTCTCGCGCTTCGCGCAAAATGCCGCGTTCGTCTCGCCCTGCTCATACTTTTATGCAGGCTAACTTAAAGTAAACAAAATATTAGTATCCTTATAGAAACAACGTTATAACAATCAGTATTATCTTAAGTTTACAGTTAAGCAAAGTTATTGCGAGAGGTCCGACAACATATTTAGTAAACTGTAACAATGTAGGACTTGCAACGTGCTTTAATTCACCGGTATTAAATATTGCATCATTTTAAAGTATTATAATATATATCAGACCAATCAGACCAATCAGATCAATAACCAGAGTATAATACCATCAACTGACGTGATACAACTCACTTTGACGCTGAAGATGACTACCGCACAGGTTGTCGAAACGTCAGTCACTGTCAACAACAACAGTCCTATTCAGGACTACGTTCACCCCAACGATCAAACTCAACCTACTTTTGAAATGACTCCCGGGTTCAATCCTTTCACAATATAGATCATGTTACCCCTCTGGATTCAGCCAAAACCACACACCACCCAAAGGCCTTTAAAATATAATGATATTAGCGCGACGTTTTTTATAAATAAAAGCGGCGTGTGCATAAAGTGCCGAAAGAATGTGATCGTATAACCTCGGTGGTAACTTGAGGAGAATAGATGTTCAAAATTGGGAGGGGAAGTCGTTGGACCTATTAACCCGATGCCTCTTAAATACCAGGCGTTTGAAGTCTAATTCGCTAACCTTTCATAGCTCAGTGAAGGTATTTTTTCCCTTAATAACAACTTCGCATTTAATTTGTAGACTTCGTTTTTCACGCGCTCAATTCTAGTTTTCTCAGTCTTTTTTCTCTTATCTGTTCTCTTATCTTATCCACTTTTTCTTGCCACAAAAAGAAGTATGGCGGAGAGTTAAATAGAGAACGTACAATTCGTAGTTTACATGTTAGGAAAAGGAAAAGCATACAGCACACAAAGACCACGAAGAGTCTCATCTTGTCATCTAATAACTAACGCTGGACCCGCTCCAGTGGCTTATCTGGCTTAGCTGTATAAAGCTTATTATAGGAGTAGACTCTTATATAATAAGTTTACGCCAAACGGCAAACGAGAATTTGTACCACGTGACCAAGTTTTCCCCTTAATGGTAGTTTACTGTTGATTACTTCTACACTGAAAATAAGTAGTTTCAAGCTAGTTTAATCCATAAGAATTGTTCTGGGTAGTTTTTATCTGCTTATTTTCTATCTGAGAAATTCTCAACTTAAACTTATGCGAAGAGAGGTTTCTCTCTTGCATGCGTTTTAGCGTTTACGAAGTCATTCGCGTGGCTTGTCTGTCGCGTGGTTGGTTTGTTTACGCCCTGTGAGAAACTTAAGCCTCGCGAACGACTTCGTAAACGCTAAAAGCCATGCAAGAGAGAAACCTCTGCCCGCAGGATAGTAACTCGATCGAGAGGAATAGATATCCAGGGCGCGGAAGGGAAGTCGTTGGACTTTTTAACCCGTTGCCTCGTAAATAAAATTTTTTAATCGCAAAAATTCATAAACAGGAACAGCAACCGGAACAGGACCTTTGCCAGCATTGTGTATAAATTCTCCAGCTCTTGTTTCCTTCCGCCGACATCTTTATTACTTAGTCGTTCTTCACTCTCGTGCCAGTTAAGGCCGCCTTAACTGTGAGAGAAAATATTTCCAAGTTCCAGAGATTTGAAAAACGCCGGACGGGATCCGCCGAGATGAAAGTGCTTTCAGTAGGTTCTACCTCTCTTTATCGCGATTTCGTGCGTGTCTGGTAAGCAATTATTTAAATAAAACTGTAGCATTTCGTTTCAAATGCGAAACAAGGATAAAGAAGATACACAAAGCGACTGAGCAGATGATTTGAGCCGGTTAGGCTGTGTTAGCGGATTCAGCGGATTCGTGTCGTTTAGCGATGGCAGAGTGCATTGTACCAGTTACGTGAAGCTTGTTTATCCTCGTTTTCTTAATTTGCTGAAGAGCTGACTTTTCTGTTGTTTTGAAATATTTTTGGCTTTAACCGATAGCCGTGAGCAAGATCAATCTTGATCTGTGCGAACTACAAGCTGTTTGGCTCTTCAGAGAGTTTCTCGTTCAAACGACGTAACGCTTGGATTAAATCACCTTGCACCCAACATGTATGATTCACGTTAAAGCATATAGAACAAATTATCAGGGTTTTTACGATTTCTATGCGTGTTACTGAAACAGTAGACTACTAGTAGTCCCCCATTTTTCCTCAGGGATAGTACAGCGAGCGAAACGCGAGCGCGCGTGAAAATCACCCCACGCAAGAAAAGGCGACACGCGATACGCGTGGGGTTATTTTCACGCGAGCTCGCGTTTCGCTCGCCCTACTATCCCTGAGGAAAAATGGGGGACTACTCGTAGTCTACTGAAACAGCTTTTGAAAGCTCTAACTCAAAAAAAAATTGTTTATCGCTGTGATTGTCGCATGGAATTTTCGGACTTTTATGGAAAAGAAAAGTGCAAATTTCTTTCTTCTTTAGCTTCCTTATTTTTATGCAGTGGAAAGTTAAAAAAACATTTCAAACTGCGAAAAAATAGATGAATTATCAATAATTCTCAAAAACAGTTTGATAATTAAAAACATTTCGTTAAATCGTTTTGCTTTGTACACGAGATCAACAATCTCTTTTGTTTCAAAATAGCTGGTCCTTTTAGATAGGAAACTCTATGTGCCTTTATGTACGTACTCCACTTAGTACATTTGACCATATGCCTATGTTAAAATGCGCTATACAAGTATTAAATACGTGTGAAACACAAGATATGAAGAAAACTGTTGTGGTTCACTTTATCCTCGGTTAATTTTGTTTCTTCTTTTCATGTCATATATTCTGGCGTAAACAGAAAGAAAGGAAAACACAATTTGAGGCAAGGATAAAATTGAGCGGAAGAATCTACGGGAACCCCAAAATGAGTCCGTTACGACCCCTTACATTTTTGTGGCAACAGATTTCGCTACCTTTGCGGATTCCACGAAAAATAATTTAAACAACTGGTAATTTGAAATCATTGCTTCGCTACATTTTGTAAACCATTAATGAACTTTGGTTTTGTCTTTTCACACATTTCTAGGTTACCATTGTCCTAGGGGCTGGATGCAGTTTAAAAGCTACTGTTACTTTGTGAGCAGCTCCATCAAGACTTGGCACCAGGCCCAGGCGTACTGCAAAGGACTGGGAGGAGAACTGGTGAAGATAAACAGCGAAGAAGAAAACGAGTTTGTGTTGAAGTTGGTTCACAAACGTGCACCATCAGTGTCGATGATTTGGATTGGACTTCAGTGGAACGCGCGCGTGCGAGGCTTCATCTGGTCCGATCTCTCCATTCCTAAATACAGGAACTGGGCTCCTTGGGAGCCGAATGGAAATGCACGGGAACCGTGTGGAAACATGTGGACTGGGAACACTACAGTTCTGCCTACACATGCTCCTGGTTATTGGAATGACCGTATTTGCCAACTGATGCCCCGTTTTCCCTGTGGCCTCGTGTGCAAAAGCCTTGCCGAACCAGACGAGGCAAGCTCACCTCTGACACTAGCAAACGTTGATGCAATATAAGAATGTGATTCTGAGTTCGTTACTGCAATTTTCGAATATGGTTCACTTTCAAGAGAAATAGAATAAGACGTTTGGATTTCTTTGGATTTCTTCTATTGTTTTCACTATTTGATGCTGATATTTTGTGTAAACAATGTTTTGTTCTTTTCGTTGTGGTATATTTCATAGATTTACTTTTAGTCAGCTGAACAATTAAACTCTTTTTACGAGATCTGCGGTGAAGATTTTCTTTAAGCCTGCCTGTTTTATGATTTCTGACTAAATTAGGGAGCTTAAACAAAAAGGACAATCAGCGACGGGAACGAAAAAGTCACTAATAAAATAAATTCGTGTTTTATTAAACGGTTCCTTGCGATACTAAACTCCAACTCGCCGAATTTTGTCAAATTTAGTGAGTTTTTAAGGGGAGCGCATTGGATTTTGGTAACCACACTGTAATGTCTAGCCTGTTCAAGGCTCCAAAACAGTAGTGCAGTAATGCAGTAAAAATTGATGAGAAAAACGCGTCTTATCTTCACTTGGCTTTCCTAGTATCTGAGAGCCTAGCACAGGCTGTCTAGTGTCGAAAGAAAAAAAAACGTCGTGTGTGCTTTCCTCCATAACTTGAACGTCACATTGGAGAATTTCATGTCGTGGCTGGGCAACCATCAGGGGCACCCAACGAGAATATAGTTCAAAACCACCTAAACATAGCATTGTTAAACGTATTTTAGTATTTAAACGGTGGATATGGGCATATTTTTATCCCCTATAAATTTTTCATCTGTTCGGATTTCTTAGCTGAAAGTCTAGTGATCCGAAAATTATAGGGATCAAAACTTACCTGTTCGAAAATTTCAGCCAGAAAAAAAAAAGGCTCCCGAAAATTCTAGGTGACCTTTTTAGGGTAAAAATCCGTTGAAAATGGGCAATTTTACCATTTCTTAGATGTTCGAAAATCCTAGGAGAGGCAGGCAAGCAAGGAATTTTACAACAAATGTTCCGAAAATTCTAGATCTCAAATCGTCTTCCGAACAGATATTTTTCCGAAAATTGTCGTTGGGTGCCCTGAACCATGGCATCAAGATAGAAAGTGAACATACCAAAAAGCACGAAGTGCGTACAGAGTTGTTGTTTTGCTTACTAAACCAATTCCTTTTTAAAGTAGCTTCTTATTTGCTGAAGAAAAAAAAGTATGGTAGCCCTTATTCCTTATAGAAAATCTGCATACTCAATTAGTATTTATCTAAAAATGACTGAGAGAAAAGACTGAAGCACTGACCACATGAATTTTGAAGTCCTTGCCCAAGTGTACAGAAATTTTTTTATGGATTTTAAAAAATAAGAACCCTTTTTGAAATTTTACGCTAAACAGGTTCACGTATAGAGGGGGCCTAACTGACAAATTTTAGGCTAACTGGTTCTTAACGTCGCGGGTTTCTACTGCATATCTACAGCGCTCTTGCCATAAGGAAAAAAAGAAGAAAAAAAGGGAGAAAGAAAACGTTTGTATTGTTTTGAATCATCATACCTAGAACTTCCTAGATTGCATTATGTCATTAAAAAATAGGAAGTTTTAAATTAAAACGGGTATCAGCATATCAAAGGAATCGCAAGGAAGTAATTGAAAACACCTGTGCAACATAAGACACATTGCAACATCTATAGTCGATAACCTAGGAGATAAGAAAATAGGCTTCAGGAATTATATTAGATTATGTAATTAAGAGGAAGTTTTAAAATCAAGAATTATCACCGTAGCAATGGAGATTATGATTGGTTGTCTTTTCATACGGCATCGCTGATGTCTACGAAAAGCAGAATAGCAATTTGTGTTATTGGCAGCTCCAATTTTTATCCCCCTGGGCCGAGTTGTTCAAAGCTGGGTTAAGATAAGCAAGGGTTAGTGCGAGATTTGAATTCAGATATGAAAGCCTAAAAATCATTTCAATTTTAATTCTTTTTGTCTACAAGTTGATTATTGAAAGCTTTAAAGATAAACCCTACCCGGCTTTTTGCGGACACCGACTTAAGAAGGACACCTCATTATTACAGACAGTTTGCTTTGTCCCTGGAGGAAGAAAGCCCTTAATTTTTTTTCTGAATTTAACCCGCTTAGGAACACTTTCTATGGTCCCATTAGTGTCCGTATTAACGGGGTTCGACTGTATGATATTTTCGACGTTTTTTTCTATAATTAGAAAGTGACCTTGTGCTACCGTATTGGTACTTAATTTAGCGGGTCTTTTCGCGTTTTTCGCCATTGACAAAAATTAGTGAAATTGAAGACCCGCCAATAAAAATCCTCGTGAAATACAAACACGTGAAATTAAACACCCATCTAGGAGTAAATTAATTGATCTTACTGATAAGTTCCATTTTGTACCTTCCCGGTTGTAAAATAACGTTAATTTGCAAAGATTTCACATGGAGTAGAGAATGTAGCTATTATATTATCTTCATCTGAATCGCTAGATTAGTGCAAAAAATAAAATAAATAAATTTGGTTTTGCTTCTTTCAGTTTATCTATAAATTTTTAAAAGTTCAGGCTTTTTGAAAAATAAAATGATTAAGTTAAAAATGCGTGAATCGCGAAATTCGAAGCCCTTTTTTTCATATTTTCCTATTTAAATCGCAAAAATAAAACCCCGCGAAATAATACTGTCTGTCAATACAGCAAAATTAAGTATGCACGGAATTCAGTGCCAATAAGATATAAATACCCAAAGAATATAACTTGATGGTCGTAAGCAATATAAGTAGAAAGGAGGTGTTTCACAGTTTGTTTCTAGCACCCTAGGCTACATCACGCTGGACGTAGCTCTATGACTTTCCTGGCTTAACTGAGACAGATGAAATACAGCTGAATATTATATATTTTCAAAACTCTTTCATGAAAGTCGAAGTTCTCCTAACAATGGAGTGCCGTTGCTAACTAATTCAGTAACTTGAGGAGAATAGATGTTCAAAATTGGGAGGGAAGTCGTTGGACCTATTAACCCGATGCTTGTAAAATACCAGGCGTTTGAAGTCTAATTCTCTAACCTTTTATAGTTCAGTGAAGGTATCTTAATAACAACTTTGCATTTGTAGACTTCGTTTTTCACGCGCTCAATTCTAGTTTTCTCAGTCTTTTCTATCTGATCCGTTGCTTTTGCCAAAAAAAAGAAGTATGGTGGAGAGTTAAATAGAGAACGTTCAATTCATAGTTTGCATGTTAGGAAAAGGAAAAGCATACAGCATCCAAAGACCACGAAGAGTCTCATCATGTCAACTAATAACTAACGCTGGACCCGGCCATCCAGTGGCTTATCTCCTTGGCTTCCAAAACTGAGACACGATGAGGCACCTGTATAAAGCTTATTATAATGAAAACCAAAGTTCTCCTATTTAAAGGAATTTGTTGTTGTTTCCGAAACTTGAGGGGAAATTTAGATGTCTAAGGTTGGTATAGGAAGTCGCTCAACCTCTCAACCCGATGCCTCTAAAATAGCCGGTGATTGAAGTTTAATCTTGTTAACTTTTTTCAAGAGAGCAAAACTTCCTAAGTGATAAGTTTTTTGCAGCTGTAAGATCAGTTCATGGTTCTAATATTACTGGTATACTATGCATAAACAGGAACAGCAACCGGAACAGGAACTTTGCCAGCATCGTATTTAAATTCTCTAGCACTTATTCCTGTTCATCATTACTTAGTAGGTCAGTCTTCACTCTCTCTCGTGCCAGTTAAGTGAGAGATATTCAGCGAATAGCACAATACCTCCAATATTTGAAAAACGCAGGAGGGGAATCGATTTCTAAATGCGAGTTTCTGGATTACCGTGACTGAAAACAAATTATGTTTATCCAGTTTTCATCGAAGATGATTTTTTGGACCTTGTTGGGTTTTACCCATATTTTTTTTTTTGCAGTGAAAAATTACAAATCATTTTGAAGCTCAATGAAATAGTGGAGTGATCATGCAGAAGTGCCTTCCACTAAATAGTTTCTAGATTTAAAAGGAATTCCGTCAAATCATTTTGCTCTGTAAATGTCAGATTAACTCTTCACCTATTGGAGATCAATCGACCAAATTCTCTTCGAGTCTTAACTTCTTTCTGCTTTGTGTGAAATATTCCATTAGATAAATATTCGTTGGCTCCTTTTATTCCAAAATAGTCATATTTAGATAGCCAACTCTATACGCCATTATAGGTGTAGCCGCAGCTTAATCCAGTCATTCTCATTCTACATGTACTTAGAAGTCTAAAACCTCTAAAAAAGATACGAGTAGTGGTTCTTATTTATCCTGGGTGAATTTTTTTTCTATTGTTTCATATCATATATATTTGACATCGGTCAGTTTTTCATGACTTCTCACGTTTTTGTGGCAATGGATTTCGCTCCCTTGATCTCCTCAAACTCTAATTTAAACATTCAGTAATTTGAAATCATTTAGCTTCGCTACATTTGCATCCTGCGTGCAGAGTCTTCTTTTGTGTACACCAAAATCGGGTTAGCGAACGAAAAGCTATGCTAGCAGGATGCTACATTTTGTGAACCTTTATCGCTTTAAGTCGCAATGGTGACCAACATCAATTTTCTCCTAACCATATCCATAGATTGTCCAGAGATTAGGTTATAAGAATTAATAAATTGATCACCTGAGAGAAAATGCTTTGATCTTTTATCAAATTCTCTCAACACATTCTTTAAGTGAATGTATAGAGATCAGTTTCTAGAATTTGTATGTGGATATTGGGGATTAAAGGGTTAATGAACTTTGGTTTTGTCTTTTCACACACTTCTAGGTTACCATTGTCCTAGGGGCTGGATGCAGTTTAAAAGCTACTGTTACTTTGTGAGCAACTCTATCAAGTCTTGGCACCAGGCCCAAGCATACTGCAAAGGGCTGGGAGGAGAACTGGTGAAGATAAACAGCGAAGAAGAAAAAGGGTTTGTGTTGAAGCTGGTTCACAAACGTGCACCCTCTGTGAAGCAGGTTTGGATCGGACTCAGGTGGAACACGCGCGTGCAAGGCTTCATCTGGTCCGATCTCTCCATTCCTAAATACACGAACTGGGCTCCTCGTGAACCGAATGGAAAAGCGCGGGAACCGTGTGGAAACATGTGGACTGGGCGCATTACTAATTTTAACCTACCTTTTCATGCTCCTGGTTATTGGAATGACTGTAATTGCCAAACGTTAGTCGACACTCCCTGCGGCCTGGTGTGCAAAAGCCTTTCCGAACCAGACAAGGCAAGCTCAACCCCGACATCAGCGAACGTTGTAGTTATATAAGAATGTGATTCTGAGTTCGTTACTGCAAGTTTCGTAAATGCTTCACTTTCAAGAGAAATAAAATAAGACGTTAGGATTTCCTCTCATTTTTTCTATTCCAGTATTTGTTGCTTTGATGCTGATGTTTTATGTAAACATTCTTTTGTTCTTTCTGTTGTGGTATATTTCATAGGTTTCCTCTTCAGTGAGTTGAGCAATTTAATTCTTTTTATGAGATCTGCGGTAAACGATGTAATAACGTAAACCTCTTGTAAACCATGTTTATGATGCCTGACTATAATACTAGGGAGCTTACACTAAAAGGACGGCGACGGGAAAGAAAAAAGTCACTAAAAAAATAAATTTTTGTTCTGCTTATGCAAGCGAGACTAACTGGAAGAGTTGGAATATGAGCGATTAAATTTCAGACAGTACGAATTCTTTTGTTTTTGGGTGAAGTTTTCGTTGCCGTTGCCGTCGTCGTTGCATAAGGTCCCTTATGGTTGTCCTTTTTATACGGCATCATTGATATCTACGAAAAGCAGAATATATCAAGTTTTGTTTTGCATTAATGTCTGTTTACATTTATTGCTCTCTGTCCTCAGTCTCTGACGTAAGTAACATGTGCGAACCAGAGCCCATTGACTTGTTCTAGGCGCCTAATGGACTCAACGAACTACCGGAAGTGTGTTTCGAATTTTCTTTCAACTTGATTGGCAGACTGAATATGACTCTCGCTTTAACTGGGCAATCATGGCGCGTACTCAAATCCTGGTACACAGGTGGGGCCCATAGTAGGGATTTCGGCGCTTTCTCAGATACCAACTTAACCAGAAGTCTATTTCCATCTGTTGCGCAGGCTAATCGTTTGATCAATTTTGATGTTGGTTCTCTTCCTTCAATCAAGAGTTTAATTCCTTCTGGCTGCAGACTGGAGTACATTTTATAGAGACTGAACGGGTTGGTAAAGCGAAGTGTTTCCCTTCAACTCAGCTATTCAGTAGTATTGCACTTTTTCTCTACCTCTTATTAAATTCACCCCCTATATGTCACAGTTCTTCTGTTTTCGGGTTAGGTTCTATTGTTAACTTGTGTTTGTTCATTGTTTTCCCATTCAATTGACCATTTTTCAGTTGTGGACTTAGTACCGTAGCCTTCGAGTGAATGTGAGGCTGAGGTTGACCTTGTTTTGATACAAACCTCCTTTGCTTTGTTATGGAAATTGTCCATGAAAATACTAGTTAGAACTAAAGAATAACTTGATTTACATAATGAACAGGAAGGTTTGTATCAAAACAAGGTCACCATCAGCCTCACTTCCATCCATAACCGTAAAATGGCTCATTTCGTAAGGTCTTCTGAGGGCTGCAAGTTCGCCCCAGCTATTAAGCCATTGTTAAGGCTGAATGTTGTTGCTATTTTTCTTTTGCTCAGGTTCCTATACAAAGGGTGGCAGGATTTGTGAAACGCCTTTGTACCGTAAACTTGCAGTCTCAAACAAACGTAACACTGGCTTTTCTGTCTTACGTAAAGTCATTTCTACAGGTAAACACATATCCTGGACCTAGAGGTTTTTCTTAATTTTCACGCACCCAACGGTAAGGAACGTCGGAGGGTCTAGAGGCGAGGAAGAGAGAAAGAAAGCTCTTCGGTGTTCCCATTTGCGTGGAGAAAAATTGATAAAAACCTATTGGATTTGGTTACTTGTAACCCTGGTAACAAGAACACTATGGTCATATGCAAAAGCGTTGTTACCTTAATACTGGAAACCGAGGAGGAGAAACGAGGAGACCCAACTATTTTACAGGCTCCTTGTGCAGTTACATTCTAACGTGAAGCAACTTCCAGTTCTCTCGGCTATAACGTCATTAAACGGATGCGCTTTTGTTTACTAAGAAATCTCTCTAGAGATCGAGTGAGGCATATTTGATACCATATAAACCGTCGTAGTAACCAAGAACATAATCCGATCGTTTAGCTCGTAAAGGCCAGTGGGCCAGTATACTTTAGGCATGCGGTATTTCTCGCTGGATCGACATTTGTTCGTTATGCCAAGGAAGTTATTGTATAAACATCTTCCAGAAATTCCTCGAGTCTCTTTACAACGTTTGCTTCGTAGTAGAGTGTAAAATGATTCCTTTGCTCCACAGTCACTCCAGTTATTTACCTCACCTATTCTATTTTTCTCCTTTCTAGTCTCCTGCTAAAGTGCAAGCAATACTCGACAGTGAGAGCATGGTCTGGTTTGTTTCGACCTGATGTCAATGACCCAGAGCTGAGTAATGCTGATAGCACGACAGCCTGGGAACTAGCTCTGTTGGAGACTGGACACTATCATCCATCGGTGAGGATCGCGGCTCATCACGTGGCCGAGCGAGGGCCAAGCAAAGGACAGTTCTCTACTATGATGAAAATGTAAGTTAACTAAATCATTTGTGCTGAATGATAGAACAAAAGAATAATCAATGCACCAGTTCTAAGATCCCATTGTTACGTCAAATCTGCTGGTGAACGAACAAACTGTATGTAAGCCTTGTAGTTCGAAAGGTAGACAACGCTATCCAGTGGATAAATCACTATCCAGTGAATAACGCAATTACTTTTCCTATTACTTATCCACTGGATAGTGATTTATCCTGTGGTTAGCGCTATCCAACGTTTCATAAGGGAGGGCCTGTAGTCTAGTGATAGAGGAACCAACATCAAAACTTTAACCTACGTTGATCTTAAGGCCCGGTTCAAATGTCGCATTTCACCTGTGCCCAACATACAAGCTCGACTGTGGTTCCAGCGAACGTTGATGCGTATTGGTGTTGTTATTTTGAATTCGTTACTGTAAGGCTATCTTCACATTTTAGCGGATAACGTTTCTTAGCCTGCGTGGCAGGCGTTTGAAAGGGAAGGGAAAGTGAGTTTTAGGCGCGTTTCCCTCGCGCCCAAAACCCCCTTTCCCTTCCCTTTCAAACGCCTGCCACGCAGGCCAAGCTTTTCTTGCATACACGAAAAGCAGGGCTTCAGGGCGAAATTTGAATTCAGATATGAAAGTTTAAAAAGCAGATTCAGTTTTATTCTTTTTATCTTCAATTTGATGATTGGATGCTCTAAAAAGAATAGAACAAATTATCCAGGAAAATGCTTTTGAACAAAAGAAAAAGAAACCCCGGTCAAAATTTAACGAAAAACTGGGCCCTGGTTAATAACGTCTGCGAACCAGCGACGAAATCCCTATTAAAGCCCCCCGAAGCAGCGCCGATATCCTGGTTCTGGGTGCCCAACGGATTCAACGAACTACGGAAAATGTTTTTCGAATTTCCTTCCAACCCGACTGGCAAACTCGTAATCGTCCAAGCCTTTTTAACTGGGCAACCATGGCAGGTAAACAAATCCCACGGAACACAGCTCGAGCACAACAAGCATTCGGCGCTATCTCACAGACCACGTGGCCATTAGTTTGATCGATTTTGATGTTGGTTCTCTTCCTTGCACAGAGAGTTTTTCCTTCGGGTACTCCAGTTTCTTCCTCTTCTTAAAAAGGGTAATATGTCCATATTCCGATTCGATCTGGAATATGGTTGACGAAGAAAAGTCCACTATAAGGAAAGTTTTGAGGTGGTAGGTAACTCACAAACACTCGGCTCTTCTTGGAATGGAAGCAAAATAACACAACTTGTCTGTAGATGGCATGACGCATGCGCTCTATCAGCTCGTTTTGCTCATTTCGGTTCTTTCGTTTGTTTCTTTTCACTTATTTTAGTGGTTTTCTCTCTTTCCAATGGTTGTTTTGCCGGTTAGATGATTTCAATCGACCGTTTCGGCAGTTAGCTTGCCGACCTGGTCGTTTTTGTCTTTTCCCCGATTCAAAAGTGGTTTTGCTTGATTGTTTTAGGTTTTATATTATATTTTGTATTCAAGGTTTTAAAGTGCCTTTAATTTGCTGCTTGCCGAAATTGACGTGGCGAAAAAATTCAGGTTAAAAAAGAATTATCGTTTAAGCTTAGAGGAATTAGCATATTTTGAGAATACATATCGTGGTTGTGAAGAAAAACGGGAATATTTTTGTCCTCTTATTTATCCCATTACTCATATCTTCGGAATGAGATCTGCAAAGAACGTTTATGATGTTTATGTACGTTTTATCGCATTTTTTCCTTCTCCCGAGCAAGTATAAAATTTCACAAAGCTCCAACTTTAATTTCCGGGGTGTTGTTCTCCAGTTCTAAACAAGGTGCTAACAAAGAACCAGACAAACCTGAATTTACAGGGTTTATGCAGCATTACAAGCCTTACTCTTCATAGTTTGGAGTAATGAGTTACCTACTAAGTCTCTCTTAACGCAGCAGTTGTCTGGGTCCTCTCGGAAACGCAAGCGTAGGAGGACAGTCCATTCACTTCCGCTCGAGTAATGCTGTCGGTCTTTCTAAGAAACTGATTCACTTAAGGCACACATCCGGTAAAGACTGTCACTATTTGACTTGAGACGAACTCATATTTACTACAAAATATATGTATAAAAATGGCACAGCCAGATTAAGGCTGAAAGTTGTCGCTTACTTTTATCAGCTTAGGCATATTACACATTCCTGCACGCAAAAGGGAATTAAGTTAAGGGGTCTCCGATGTTTGTATTCAAATCAAGGTTCGATTGCGAAGGCTGCCAGCAAGCTCTGTTCCCTGCTGCCGGGTGTTTTCATCGCACACAGGGTAAGTAAAACTGGTCATTTGAATAGACGTCAACCAGAAACTAGGAAAAGAGCAAACAGCTACTAGATTTTATTAATATTGATTGGATGACCGGCAGTGAAATCATCAATCGCGAAAGAATTCTGACAGGCAGTAGTTAGGTCGCACGAAAGAAATGTTCAAGTTTACTTAGAGAAAAAAAAAACATGAAAAATAACCGTTGTGCCTTCAATTTATCCAAAAAAATATCGCATTTAATTGGTTATAGGTACGGCAAAACAGGCAACAAAAACGTGCAACTTGTTTTGCAACATTGCTGCACTGACGAGTTGAAAAGCGATGCTGCGTGTTTTGTCATTCACGTTCAAACCTGTCTTGCAAGAAATGAAGTCGGTTGCAAGTTGCGTGAATCAGTACTGACTTCTCATTGGATAACACTACCCAGGAGTCACGCACACGGTAATTGTGTCACTTATTGCAAAACAAGTTTTCCCTATTGGGCTTGTTAATTAAACACGCAACATGTACAGATTTTGTTGCAAAAAGTAGAACTACTCTCAACTCTCGGCAACAACTTTTCGCAACCTGTAACAACCTGATTCGTTGCATGGCTGGTTGGAACGTGCGTGGTAAAACGCGCACCATCGCTTTTTACTCGTTTTGCAGGAATGTTCCAAAACAAGTTGCACGCTTTTGTTTGCCTTTTTACTGTACCGTTAGATCATACTCACTATTCCCTCGTGTTGCTATACTTGAGAGCGGTATTGTTGGAGCTTCGGCTTTGGTTTAGAAAAACTTTAATTAAAGAAAGTTTGTAAACATTAAAACATGATATATCCACTTTGCTTCATCTTGTAGAACGTCAATTGAATTAATAAGAGCAACAATGGCCCAGTACTTACTGCGAGTCATAATTCGTCACAAATCTTCCACTGCCGGAAACATGGTAAAGTAGAAAACGAGTGCGGATACAGCTTGGCTGCACAATTCCTTAAATGTTTAATATTGCATTCGGAGGGGGAGGGGCTCTAGAATGAAATTGCTCTACCAAATGTGCTTGAAAATCAATGAATTGTCAGTCTACAGTTTATTCTCACAGAACTATCAAACTCTTGATTCATTTATCTAATTTCCTGCGCCCGGTTCGAAGTCCAATTAACGCTAACCTGTGGCTAAATTTTGATCCAGGTTCATTTTCTTTTGTTAAAAAGTATTTTCTTGGATATTTTTTCTATTCTTTTTAGAGTACCCAATCATCAAGTTATAGAAAAAAGAATCAAACTGAATTTGCTTTTAAGCTGTCATATTTGAATTCAAATTCCATACTAACCCTAGGTTCTCTCTGATCCATTACGATTGACAGAAGTAGAGAGCATGAGATAGGTACACCACACACAAGCAAAATTCCTTCATGCGTTTGCCCTGACTACAGCCTGAAAAAAAAACAATCAGACGCAGAGCCTAGATCTGGGTAGTGACAAGTCATCAGTATGGAATTTCTGCAGTCGTTCATCAGACGTCATTTCACGGGGAAACCAGAGCTGGCATGGCGAAACGTGGGCTGTTTTTTCAGGCTACCCTGACTTTTAGTGACTATTGGGCTAGAGATTTAAGCTGACTTTAAAAATATCTCGGACAATAAATAATATAAGCTGGTACCAACATGATGAACAAACTAATATTAATATTACTATACAATATTTTATAATATACATTCCTATATATTAATTTTATAAATAAATATTCTGCAGTTTAGAAGTTTCCAGATGCCTATTACTAAGATGTTAAAGTTTCATGGGCAACACGATGGTGCAAAACGGTTGATTTCTTTCCAGAAGGGAGGATATCCTTGGCCTACAGCCTATAACCGCAATTTTACGGTAAATGTTTAAAGTTACAAGACTGAAATACCCTTATGCGAACTTGTGTCCCTGCTTTAGAATTGATAGAACACTCCTCTTATCCAAACCGGTGTCCATTTGTGAGGCAACTTGTCAAGTTTAACTTGGGCGCAAAACCCAATAGACATTTATCATATACTAAACAAGGTCATTGCCCACTAATAGAAAGACCTCAATCTCAGACCGCAGTTTTTCCTGATGTCTCTATTATGAAACTCGCTTAATAGAACGCAAAACCCAAACGAAAAGTATATCATTTTAAAAGACAAAATGCCTCCTTTCGGAAGTTGTTTCAAAAAGTCAAATTAGTACTTCATCACAAAATCAAAAAGGTAGTGTCACAAATTTCTTAATGCGCCGCCGTTTGACTCTAGATCTCTTCTCGGTTTTGATGCGTAATTAAACATTGTACATCGTGTTTGGTATAATTAATCACGGGCAGAAAATTACAGGAGGAAATAAACAGGAGGGAAGAAAACATTAACCCACAATTCCGTAAACCACTGGGTGAATCGGCACAAGATTTAGACGCATAAGATTTCTGGGATCCGGCTTTTAGGTCACCGTCAAAACTGAGCCTTGATTTTTTTAATGGTTGCCTTTGATACCATCGACGAACAATCCAAAAAGACCTTTTGCGAAAGCTTGTAGTTTATCTCCATGCAGTTTATGAAGTGACGAATATTACTATCTGACTTCCGTTGTAGAAAGAAACATCGAGGGCAAGTGGGGGAGAGGCGACATCAGACCATCCTCATCCTCATCCTCATTCAGGACCACATGTACACTGGGTTTTTCCTTGGATTCATGTTCATCACATGGGTGACACCAACTTCACGCCAGCACATCTCATTCCTGCTAAAAAGATTAACTCACCCCATCGACCTCACGAAGTTGAACCGAACACCAGTTATCGGATGTGGGGTCTTGTTAGCAGGCAGAATGACAGCCTGGTGCAGCGTGATTCAACTAGTAGTTACGTGAATTGTAAAGGAACCTTCACCGATAAAACAGGCAACAGTAAGTGTTCTTTGTCCTGTCCTTTTCTTGCCCTTTGCCCTTTTTTTTTTGTTTTTCGTATACCACGCTTCTCTCTCTATTGTGACCCAAAAAAGCTTCAAAAGTGTGACCGGCGCGAGTGGTTACGTGACACCTCGAACCCCGGATCTGGATGTCCGGGGTTCAAAGCCTCGCCCGTTGCTTTGTTCCTGAGACAAGGAACTTTACTCCACTTTGTCTCTCTTCACCCGGGTGAGTAAATGAGTACCGGCGACATACTGCTGGGGGGTAACCCTACGATGGACTAGCATCCTGTCAAGGGGGGAGTAGCAATACTTTTAGGCATGCTTCTTGCTAAGGAAACCAGGATAAGCTTAATAGGCAGTTTGGGCTTTCGGCTCGTGTGCGCCTCTACCTTTTACCATACTCGTAACTGAATAATTATCCTCCTTCCTCTCTCAACACCCTCCCCGAACCAGCCAGAGATAAAGGCAGACTGTGGTTCAGTTTAGATTTCAATTAGCCATATTAGCATAGTTGACGAAAGAAAGGTTGTTTGTTAAAGTAATTGGCTTTTTCTGTTACTTTACTTACTTTCAGTCGCTATCTTGTGCTTGTATGTAATAAGTCGATGACACCATAGAGTATGTCTTTTCTAGCAATTAAAAGGTGATGAATTTGAGAAGCCACAAAAGTTAAACAAAGTGCTTGTAAAGGAGGAGGCTATTCCTGTGCAACGATTTACTGAAGTTTTTCTCAAGAATTAAAGCTCTTTTGCCCTTAGTTTCTTTCTCGGCAGAGCGCTTGACTGCAGAGTGAGAGGTCGTGGATTCCGGATTCCTGGGGCCGGACCAATACCCAGCCTAGGGTCTTAAAATAACTGAGAAATGAGCTCAACGAACTTTCCTTTGCCCTGCAAACGGCTAGACCTTTGCATGGCTCGGATGACCACGTAAGACAACAACGGCTCCGGCCCTCTTCAGTAGAGGACGTAAAAATAGCGATTTCAACGGTTTTTCTGTTGTCATATACTTTTAGCTCACAATTTTTCCTTTTTTATTCCATCATGTCATTATACAGGGAGTCATATTGCACGCTTTCCTACATTTTAAGTTGTAACGTCTTAGCTTAGAGTTCCTAACTGTCAAATGAGCCTTGCTTCTTTCTGTTGTTCTCAGTTAGTACTCAAGTGTTTAATACTTTGACACTCAGATAAAGGGCATTTTTGTAGAGATATTTTAGTAAACCCGTGAAACAATATGTAACAATTAGCGCCAAATAGTTACAAGTAAACAAATTAGAGTGTAATACAGCGTATTACTTCCCCTATCTATTTTACCGGTTAAGTAAAATCACTCTATCATTGCAAGTTATCACTAGCGATGCTTTTCGAATTTAGCGCCTAAATATACTAAAGATTATTTGTAAAAGAAAACTCGTGAAATTTCTTTTGACAGGAGTGGAGAGAATGGCCCTTCTCGGTTCAAATCCATTAAATTCCTCTCAATATCTTTTTTATATATATATAGCTGAGATAACTACAAGCGACATCAATCAGGATTATGTGAGTTTACTTTTCAAGGACCCAACAACTCTTAAAAAGTACGTCGTGACTGCACAAGCCGACCCAAAGGGCAATATAAGCATAGAGGCTGTGGTGAGTTATTTGTAAGCCTAAGTATCATCTAAAGAATTATGGAGATCTCGGAGGGTGTTATCCAAATTTAATAATTGTTTTCCAAAAAAATTCCTTGTTTAAAAGCAAGCTAGAACATGCTTACCTCAATTGATGTTAAGTTCATTTTCAATGGCCTGTTTCTCGGCAAGTAAAAGAGACAAAGGGTTGTTTGAATTGGTTCTACAAATATTCTCCAAATAGCAGATGTCGTCCGTGTAGTTGTATTCTTGATTTTCTTGCTATATACTTTGTAGCCTGTGTACAGACCCCCCTCCCCTTGCCTATTTCCCCCTCGCGAAACGAGTGAAATGTTCCGCCATTTTGTACTTACTACCAAAACAACCCAACTCGTCCCCAGGTCTTCTCGGTTTGCTGTCCAGTTTTCTTTGACGTCATTTTTCACATATTGCAAACTTTTTTCAAATTTGGTGAAGATATTGTCCCTGGGATTTTATGCAATCAGAAGCAAAGAAGTATTTTGAATGAATGAATAATAGACCTTATTCATGATACCCGCCGTCATTGCACGCGCTTTAGGATTGATGGGATAAAGGCAACGTCACGTAGTATTTCAGGGGTTAAAAAATGATAAAATTTACCAATACGGGTCATTGCGGTCAATTCTGTTCAGTCTATCAAAACGAGACGACGATTCACAGTGCGACTATTGTAACCAGGGCCACCTAGACAAAGTTGATCGGTGACAAGAAAACAACAACACCTTCCGAAAAAGTGAGTTGTCGATCATAATTACCTTGGAAAGAAATCAACGACATAGTTCGAAATAAACCAATTACAACCTACAGACGTGACTTTCAAAACCCGTTGAAGAAGGTTTTTGTTTTTTGAGAGGTCTCTTAGAGCAAAACGTTACAGTCGTATTTTTGAGTTGAGGTCGCATGTTCATTGCAAAGTGCGGCAATGTTAGCGAAGAATTTGCTGCTGGTAGATGACAAAATAACAGCTTGTGTCAAACAAATATGTTTCCTGGGTGTAAAGTTGTAAAGTTTCGAATAACATTGACTGGTGAACACTTTTGGTATCGTAAATAAGGACTATCGCAGTCTGCTGTTGATACGTGCTCGATTATTAGTCGCTGTTCGGGAAATGAGCCCGCGCAACTCCCCGTAGAAGACCGCTCTCGGGGAGGACCGAGAAATTAAACCTACCGTTTGATAGTGTAAAAGAAGACTTAAACAAAGCTGAAATCATTAATGCCATGCTGCAGATCAAAACTTTAAATCTCTTCTCGTGCGAAAAAAAAAAAAAAACAGTAAAGAATAGCGATGCCCTCTATTCACTGGCTTGTTTGACAGAAAATGGGAGAAGTTTGGGAACTTGCACTTACCGTGAGCCTTAACTGATCTTAACTTTACTTCACCCTTTAGTTATTTAAAACAAGTAACTATTGCCTCGAAGTAACTATTACCTCTCCTCCGATCCACGGACAAGCAAACAATTGCCCTCGACTTCAACGCGCCCATACATACAAATGGCCTTGCCTGGTCTCTTTATGGCCTTGCACCCGGCCTTCTCGGTCAATTCATTTTGGTGACCCGAAACACACAAAACACGCCGAGCGCCGAGCGGAATAACGAGGCCTGGGGTCAGGGCAAAAAAGGCCAATCATTAACCTATGAGCAAGCTCTCTCGGCATGCGCAATCTCAGAGCTTTGCTCTCAAGCCCGAAATTAATTGAAATAGAGCAGCAGCCAAATATTAATCCCGTATCCCGTCAAGGAATATTGCGTGTTCCTGAATCCCGCAGTGTATAGTGCATTTCCAGACCCTGGTATATTCGTACAACTGGACTACCGTTGTTGGTGAATTTTTAAACTCTTTGTTCAGTGATGAATAGTGCTTGTGGATTTGGATAATCTAGATTATTCTCTCTTGATTCGTATCATGTTTTTGTCTTTCTTGTCGTATTTCAGGCAACTGCATCAGGTCAACAATATTCGGACGAAGCAAAATTTAAGCCTTTCTACTATTGGAGTTATACTATTTTCCAGAACAAGTGGTTCAACACAAAGTACTTGAGCTGTGATAGCACTGGCAACATGACATTGGTGGACATGGCCGAACTAGATTATCCAAATCCGCAAGCTCTGTTCATTCTGAACAAAGTTTAAAAATTTACCAACAGCGGTAGTCCAGTGAACAACTTGACGCAAGAGCTTTTGTTACACATTAAATGGTATGTTAGTCGCCACTTTAAGACCTACGAATTTCAAATATAGTTTTAGCGATTAAGGTTTTATTCATTAAGTAAAATATGTCAGCGTGGGCTTATAATTTGATTATGCAGACACCCACAGGTTTGTAATGATAGAGTGAATAAACTTAAGTTTCAAAGTATCGACAGACGAAACGATCACAGTAAATATGTGTGGATCTGGTTGCTAAATAAATGTTTTGATTATTACCTTACTTATTGTGTCGTGTTTCGAGCTCAGAAAAAAACTGAATTTAATCTGTGATTCTGTAAATGTGAGTCCGATGATCCGTTCTCAAATCACACAGGACTCTTAATGAACGAACCAAAATAGTATATTGTCGCATGAAGCTAACCTGTTCTAGTGAAATCCAGCTAGTGGTCTATTATCAATGCTGCGTTCTGATTGGCTGAACTACTACTAGGCTATATGTTATAGCCCCCTAGTAGCGAAAAGCGCGGGCTTTTTGGCGGCCAAAAAGGATTAATAAAGTCTAGCTTTTTTGACCAACTTATTGAATTTTACTAAAACAATTATTCCTCTCGCCCTCATGGCCTCTGAGTCAATATTGACTCAGACCTATTCGAGCTCGAGAAATAATTGTTAACAAGCCCCTTTATCGGCACCCTCTTAATTACTAGAACATGCATAGTCGATGATAAACAATTCTTGGGATTTATTACTAGCCGCTGTTAGAAAAATGAGCCCACGTTCCTTGCTCAATAAGAAACGCAGGCCACTATCAAACAGCTCATGCGTCAAGCCGTCTCGGAGAGGAACAAGACCAGAACCGAGAGGACGAAGGCTGGACTGCTTGGACCAGTCCAAAGTCTAGCGGAAAGGCCCGGAATGAGTACTAGCTACAAAGAAAACGAGTTTGCTCTTAAAGGAACCACGCGCCATTATTGAAACAAGTATGGCAGGCGTCAATGACTTCATTGGTCTGACAAATCTTAAGTGCTGCGCTCCTGCGCTCCTCAAAGGACGAATATACATCCAGGGTTGCTTTGTCCGTGGGGTTTTCCCACAAAAGGGTAAAAGGGTTGTGTGGGGTTGCTCTGCCCTGAGTTGCAAACCTGCTTTAGAATTCGGTATTCATCATTCAGTAAACGTTTTCAACAAATCGACAACAGTTTTCCATGGACTTTTCTTATCGAGCATGGAAATGACGTCGAAGTGTTCAAAACTCAAGTGGAACCACTAACCGTTTCACTGGTTTCAATGAAAATTTTTAAACATTGACGTTATTTGTATGGTCGATAAGAGAACTGACCATGAGAAATTGTTTTCTTTTTGTATAAACAGAGACTAATTAAAATGATGTAAAGGCATTGTTACGTTTGCACAAAGATGTTATCATAACAGCTTGAAAATGATAAAAAATGATAGTAAGTTTGTTGAACTTCATCCGCCAGTATCTGGAAGAAAGCGTACAGCCTTTTTAATAAGAAGAATAACGTCAGAGTGGATGTTACGACTTAGTTAATTTTTGTGCCATATTTCACCCATTTACTGACCCCCCCTCCCACCACCCCCCCCCCCCCCCCCCCCCCCACCCCCCCCAACCCCCCCCACCCCCTCATCCTCCCCCCCCTCCCCCCCCCCCACCCCTCTCTCTCCCACTCCCAACCCATCTCCCCCCCCCCCCCCACCCCTCCAGGTAATTATTGCACAGTCCCTAAACTGTACGTGAGCCTTTTTGGAAACCCGGCCTTCCGAACATGCAGGACTTTTTTCTATCTGGGCAAAATCATCTTTTTTCGAACTGCAGAACATTTACATAACATTAAGATTTGATTTTATATACTTGTTGTTGTTCTGTATGGTGGCCAAATACAGACGCGCGACATTGGCGCGTTCGCCAGATTCGCCACGTGAGCATGATATTGCTGCTGTGTACTATCATAGTTTTGAGATTTCTTTGTGGGAGCCGACGTAAATGTTCTTCACAAGGTCGCTGATTGATGTAACACTTGCTCATCTTCATGTAGTTTCATATCAGTTTAACTTCCTCGGGTTTGGCAAATAGACTCAAATCTTTTAAATTTTAGATATGTTATATTTTTCAGGAATAAAAATTTGTTCGAATGGCTCTTAATCTATCTAATTCAACTGTAAAATTCAAATTTCGCACTTTTCGCTGCACTGGTCATGACCAATCAGAGCATTCAGATTCAATTTGATTAGGGAAATAAGCACCTGAAAAATAACTGACGCTATTGCCGCGGGCTATTTTTTTCTTCCTGCCTCTTAGCTGAACCATTACTTAATACAGTTTCACTTTCAAGTACGCAAAAGAGAGGTTAACGTGTCACAAGCCTGCAATTTACTATTGTAGGTAAAGCACTCAAAAGCCATCAAAAGGCGCTACTTGTTTCTGGGGCGTTTTCATCGCACACACGGTAAGTAAAAGACGATTATTTCCCATCTTGGTCCTCCAGTGGTGTTAAGAACGAAACCATTTTGGGCGGAATATAGTAACATGGAAAATAAGGACAAATTTTTTCCGTTAAGAGCATTTCTAATTCCGTAGGCATTGCGGATTAAGATGAGTCGTTCAGATTTTCGTCGGCACATAATATCAAGATCTTTTCATCTAGCTAATTTGTAAGCTACTTCGTTCTTTTATTACCATACAATATCAAGACCACATACGACCCAAAATTCCTTGATAAGATATAACTTTCAGCCGAGCGCTTTAAGCCAACTCCAAAACACAGGGGGGAGGGGGGTACTTTAAAATGTTCTACACTTCCGTCGGGCTCCGCCGCTAAGTCAGGGCCCTTACCCTTTTATATACCTTTTTTTTTTTACAAAAAAGGTACCTATACCTTCTATTGACAAATGGTACCCCTTTTGCATACCTAGTTTAGAACCCTGCGTTTCTTTCATTTGCTGTAAATGCTGACTGCTGTAAAATCACAAAACTAGAACATTTTCTCGACCTTCTCTCAGCTATAAAATACATATCTGTTTGCCTTTTTGGGCCTTTTACAGAGCGAAATGATTTTCCTACCCTTCCATATACTTCACAAGCGAAATCCCTACCCTTTCATATACCTGAAGCCTGAAAAAGGTACGTCTTTCTGGTGTAGCCTCCCAGTTTAGGCCATTATACGGAGACCCCCGGCTCCAAAATATCTTGACGTCGGCCGATTCACCTTGTGAACTCGGATAACACAACCAAATTTGCATATAGTTGATGTTATTCATCATTGCTTGAAGTGCTTGATTGCTTTGTTGACGCTGACCTCAACTCTTATTATCAAAGCAAATTGCTCCAATAATGATATGAAGTTTGTTGAGTTTTCGCCACATGGACTAGCGTGTACATCATCAACATCAACTTACTGAATAACTGCTAGAGCGCCTTGTGACTTTACAAGGACAGATAAAAAATGAATAATAATCAAAAGGAGGCATGAGGCTATTGACCTCTTTGTTGAAATAATAGTCATACTAATACCAATATCTTCTTAGGAACTCAGATGGCGAGGAAGCCTAAAATGTTAAATATTCTAGTGACCGACAATGAAACCAAGCGCATCATCTCTTTTCAGAAGGGAGGGGAGGTCAAGGAATTTCGCCATCTTTTTCTGGAAGCCCTTCTAGATGTGTTATTAGACAAAGTTGCCCCGGCAAATTTTAAGTTCCAGCGATATGCTGACAACTTCGAAGAATGCGTAGATGTTAATAACAACGAAAGGTTTGATGAGGACGAATTAAAACTTCTAGCCTTGGTATCTAAACGAGAAAAACAGGTGAATGTTCATTCCCCATTGGAAGGGGGGTGGGGTACTTCCGTGTGAAACTGGGCATGACTCGCGTTGGTAAATTCTCCCCCCTCCCCTCCAAAAATAACAATTCTGGGCATGGCTCAAGCATTGTTTAAATACAAGAAGAATTCATTCTAACACAGACAGCCAAATTCACGTCGATTTTAGTTGCGATAAAGAAGTTGTCATTAAATGTGTTCCTCTTGAATTTATTTCCCTTTTCGTCTTTCTCTTACCTTACGTTTTCATGCCCAGATCTAAGCGATACCAAGACTGAGACGAGAAGACAAGCAGCCGAGCCATTTCATGAAAGTTTCTCCCCTGGGAGAGGGGTGTTAATTCTATCTTTTATTGCTTAAAAGCCCAAAAAACAGACCTTATATAATCCAATCCATAACTTCGTTGGATTCAACAAAGCCGTATGCTGTTGGGCGATGTTGCATTGGCTTCAAACAAAACCCAATACACTCCAACATCTTGCATGAACTGTTAAAATCGGAGCAATTCAGACCGAATTAATTTTCAAAACTATTAAACACTAATGTGGAGTCATTGCTCTGCTTATCAAAATGTTTATAACGATTGCGCATGCGCAAATCCAACATTTTTTAGACAGCTGTCGAAAGCCTCCCAACATGTTTCTTTTTAGTTCGAGGCATGGTCCATCGACCGTGAGAACAAAAGTTGGATGAAAAGTTTGAACTTATCACTGACCTGATCAAGCTGTCAAAAAGGCATTAACTCAGTTGGGAGAAGTACCGGTCTGCTGAGCGGGAGGTCGTGGGTTCAAACCCCGGCCGGACCAACACTCATGGTTTTTAGATAACTGAGAGGAAAATGCTGCCTTTGTAATGACATCTGCAAATGGTTAGACTTTCTAGTCTTGTCGGATAAGGACGAAAAACCGTAGGTCTCGCTTCACAGCACTTTCACTTATCTGGTTCTTATGGGACATAAAAGAACCCACGCCACTGTTCGAAAAGAGTAGGGGACGTAGACCCCGGTGGTGTCGCCAACCTTTCCGGCATGGGCTGGTTGGGTTATCTGTAAGGAGAGATCTTAATATAGAGATAACCTTATACCTCTTTCTCAGGTGTCGTGATGGCTACCTGCAAACAGTGTATAAGTATTTTTGTTTTTGTCTTCAGGAGCACATACTATCCACTCGTTATAGGGATGTTTCCTCCAGCGCTGCGCCAATTTGAAAACCAAGTAGAAGCAGAAGTAGCAGTAGAAGTCGCTGAGTTTCGATCTTATTTTCTCTTAGATCATGTTCACATGTTCACTATTCCCGTATATGACTATACTTGAGAGCGATAATGTCGGAATTTCGGCATTGTTTTAGAAAAACTTAAATTAGATTAACTATGTAAATGTTAAAACTTGATATCCACTTTGCTTCTTGTAGAACCTGAAGTGAACAAACAGGAGCAACAATGTCCCAAAACTTATTGCGTTTTATAATTCGTCACAAATCATCGACCGGTGGAAATATGGTAAGGTGCAGGGGCGTAGCCTGAGGTTTAGACGGTGTACGCACGCGGGGAAGAAAAGTTGTAGCGCACATGCGAAGACGACTCAACCTAGAGGGGTTTGGGGGTATGCTCCCGCAGAAAATGTTTAAATTTAGGGTCTCGGAAATGCCATTTCCAGCGTTTTCCACACGATATTTTCAGTTAATAAATACGCAAGAAAAATCCAGTAGTCAGTTGTTTGTTTTACCCATCCCTAGTGTTGTCTGTAAGGTAGAGTGTTTACAGGAAAAAAAGGCCAGTGACGCCATCAGATTATGGAACAACCAAAAGCTAAAGAAAATACTAACGCAAAGATACCAATATATTTAATAATTAAAAATACTTTTTCAAAAGATTTTTTTTTCCTTATTTCAACCTTACACTTACGCACGGCGTATGTGGGTATATGGACGCTACGCTCCTGAGGAAAGAGCGCAGAAATTCCATACGGATGACGTGTCACTACCCTGGGAACGAGGTTGATCTAGGCTTCTTATTGGATGAAGCAAGTTTTCAACTTATGAGGCACAACCTAGATCTGCGTAGCGACACGTCATCAGTATGGAATTTCTGCGCTTGTTCCTCAGAAGTCATTTCCCGGGGAAACCAGAGGTGACGTAGCGAAATTTTAGCTATTTTTTCAGGCTACCTGACTGTTGGACTAGAGATTGAAGGTGACCTTAAAAATATCTCGGCCAATATATAAGCTGGTACCAACATGATGGACAAGCTAATTCTAATATTACTATTTAATATTTTATAACTCATAATAATCTTTTATATTAATATTCTGCAGTTTAGAAGTTTCCAGATGCCTATTACTAAGATGTTAAACTTTCATGGGCAACACGATGGTGCGAAACGCTTGATTTCTTTCCAGAAAGGAGGATATCCTTGGCCTTCAGCCTATAACCGCAATTTTATGGTAAATGTTTAAAGTTACAAGACTGAAATACCTTATGCGAACTTGAGTCTCTACTTTAGAAATTGACAGAGGACCCCTCTTATCCAAACCCGCGTCCATTTGAGAAGCAGTATAGACGGCGATAGAGAAATAGTGGAGTCAGAAAAGAAGTCAATTTACCTTCAATAAATTATATGTGGGCGAAGATAACGCACAACTAGAGTGATCAGTGCGAAGTTTAGAATCGGCCCTTTCGCATCGGAAATTAGTCTCCTGAATATACCCGTCGGACGCGCAATAAAGAGATTGAAGTAAAAAAAAGAGGGACGTTCAATAAAGACAACAATAGCAAGAAATATTTATTGTAAAAGTTGTGCCGCGCTCTCTAAAGAGAATTGGAGGCTCTATGTGAATTTTCAGTCGAAAACAGAATCGAAAATGATGATATTAGCGCAGATGAAACCGCCAATAACCAATCTGAACCTAGATAAGCTTATAACATAACCGAAATTGTATAACTATGTAGTTAAGCGTGAATCAGATATCTTGAAAACAACTTTGTCGGAGTAGCAAACGCAAGCCGCAAGTGCTCTGATGTCTATAAAATTTCGCGCGCGACTAGCTGGCTTCTCAATGTTGTCAGCTGTTCAAAGCGACAGCGAATTTTTTTTTTCATGGCAACCTTTGTTTCGACAAAGACAATGACTTCACTCCAACTGTGCGCTAACTTTAAACTTTTAACTTTATATTTTCAAACTTAAAAGTCCGCAACTTAATCGAGTCACATTTTCGCGAAAAAGCTATCCACTTGTAGGTAAGGCCTTTGTCTTAAATAATCCGCTCTATAATCTGAAGATTTGTGATTATTTTTGAAGAAATACGATGTTTAACTTGGACAAGGGTCATTTTCTATACTGAAAATACTGTAAAAAGCCTGATTTTCAGTGTTAAAAGTCTGTACCCAATTCTCATTTATTTTACTTAGAATTTAGTTGGAATGATAGATTAATCCTTTAACTTAAAGAATCCGCTCTATAATGTTAAAGAATTCATCTTTTTAACTCCCAAAATGACGATTTTAGTCACTCTGCTACTCCAAAATCGCCTGCTTTCTCTATTATTATGCCGCTTTCTTGGCACATTCATGCCTGATTAGCCCACCTCAATGCCATTTATCCCGATGTGATCAAGTTTGGGCACAAAATTAGACCTGCTAGACATTTATCATGTTGTAAAGGAGGTCATATTGTCCACTTAAAAAGGACCCGTATCTCAGACAGGTTTCCTTGATGTAAATCACTATTCTCAAACTCGCATACAACTCAAAACTCAAAGATAAAGGGAATCATTCATTAAAAAAAAAAAAAAAAAAAATGCAATTTTCTTAGTGAAGTTGTTTAAAAAAATCAAAAAAGTGCTTCATCTCAAAATAAAAAATTCCGTCCCACATTTCGCTATGCGGTGCCGTTAAACTCTCTTCTTGCTTTTGATGCGTAATTAAACATTATGCATTATGTTGAATAGAATTAATCACGGACAGAAAATTACAGGATTATAGAAACAGGGCAGAAAATATTAACCCGCAACTCCGTAAACCACAGGGTGAATTGGTAAAAGATTTCTGGGATCCGTGTTTTAGGTACTCATCAAAAACGTTGGATTTTAATAGCTGCCTCCGATACCATCGACCAAAGCCCCAAAAAGACCCTATGCAGTTTATGAAGTGACGAATATTACTATCTGACTTCCGTTGTAGAAAGAAACATCGAAGGCAAGTGGGGGAGAGGCGACACCGAACCACCCTCATCCTCATCCTCATCCAGGACCACATGTACACTGGGTTTTTCCTTGGATTCATGTACATAACGAGGGTGCGATAGTCTTCCCGCAAACACATCTCTTTTCTGCTCTACAGTTCAGCTCACCCATTAAGCCTCACCCAGTTGAACCGGACACCGATTATCGGATGTGGAGTCCTGTTTGCAGGCAGAGTGACGGCTTGGTGCAGCGTGATCCAACTAACAACAATGTGAATTGTAAAGGAGCCTTCGGTGATACAACAGGCAGGAGTAAGTGTTCTTTATGACATCCTTTTCGTGATCTTTCTTGTCCTTTCTCATGTGTTTGTCCAATGTGTTTTTTTAATGTCACATAAAATAGTAGTATCTCTACACAGTCAGGCGTTTTTAGACGACACTAAAAACGGCTGTGTAGCAGACTAATAAAATAGACCTTACTATACTCGCCATCTTTGCACGCGCTTTTTGACCGATGGGATAAAAGCAATGTAATGTGTTATTTCATGGGGAAAACAAGTGATCAAATTTACTAGTACGAATAATCAAGGTCGATGAATTTTTTATTCTCTCAAAAGGAGACGACGGGAACGGCGAGTCATGCAAATTGTACAGTCCGATTGTTACGTCATTATTGCTTGCTATTAGGGCATAACACTGATTACTTCCACCCTTATTTTGCCATTATCGTGCCTCCTTTTGTTGTTACTATGTCATTTATACCTTCTTTTAATGTTTTGAGCGGTTGCTTTTTTTCACTCAATTTTATTGTAGTTGCCACCCTTTGAATTTTAATAAATTACGTTTCACAGCTCCTTTAAAGCGGTGATTATGCGAGACATTGTATCCGTCGAGAGACAGCGATTGGTATAGATAAAGGTGCATAAGTGCACGTTAGAAGAAAGAGGGAATTGTGAAATGTAATAATCATAATAATAATAATGATGATAATAGTAATAATAACAATAATAATAATAATAATAACGACAAAACTAACTATTAAAACCTATTTACAATTAATTTCGCTAAAGAAGAAAAAAAGTATTCAGTCAAAGTACTATTAACAAGTCATTTCATTTCATAAGCTCCTGTTCATTTCGATTAAAAAAAAAATTGATTTCAATTAAAAAAGAAATCATTTCAATTAAAAACACTTCATTTCGATTAAAAATGACATAAAAATATTAAAAAGATCCTAAAATACTAATAGCGTTTAAGCGGCAATCATCAATAAAATACCTTTGTGGAATTTTTGTGGAAGGGTGTCCTGAAACCTCTTACGCATGTGTGTACCGACCTTAAAATCTCAAAAGAAAGCAATGTTTTAATCCAAGTAATAGTAATGTGATAAGTTCCTCATTCTTTTCTGAGAGCTTCTCGGCTAGGCGTTTGAGAAAGCAGTTGCCGTCGGCTCCCATACCACCGTTGGTTCCAAAAACAAAGTCCAGTACCCTCTGCTGGTACTTCCGCTTTTTCTCCTTCTCCTGCTCCTTAAAGATTGTGGATGTTGTTTTTCCCTGATTACACTTGGAGTTAACATGCGTTACTCTGACATCAGAAAATGCTGTAACTCCACGAGACGAAAAGCCCCCCTGTCTTGAAGTCCAGTCTTGCCACGGGACTTGTTACCGCGCTTCTGAGGTTGAGTCGCTCATTATCAAAAGGTTGTAGTTGTGGTTCGACTTCAACGTTGGTGCAAACCTTACCAATAAGTGAGGTAAGTAGGTTGCGAATACCATCGTGTCTTTGCGCCACGAACCCTCCCTTGCACTGCGGTAAGCCATGCGCTCGCACCCTTGTCTCTCGATTGGTTAAACGACCGCAGCAGATCCGAGGGTAGAGTGGAATCAATACTTTCCTTTCTCGATTTCGCCGACGCAGTTTTCAACTCTTGAAGCTGTCTTTTTAACTCCTCCGTGGAATTCCCGCCTACCACCATGAACATGCTCTGAATCTACGTGCGATGCTGTTATTGACGTAGAAGCAGCAAACTGCTGTGGACCTTCAAACCGTAATAATAATGATGATGATAATAATAATTTTCTTATTTCAGCACGGTTAAAACTCATCAGGATTACATAGATAAAAAGCAGAAAACAAGTTGCAATATCTTTTTATCAATATAATACAGGAGAACTCACATTCTTACGAACAAATGAAATAAAAAAAACAGAGAGTGCCGTGCCTTAGTTAAAGTAACGTCTACAGCCAACCCGAAAACTCTCTGAAGGGTTTGAGCTTGCCGGAACTCCATTGGAAGACTATTTCAGAGCACCACCCCAGCATACGGCTGAAGCTCCTTTTTTTTTAAATTCAGTTCGAGGAAGCGAAATGCAAAGTTGGCCCTCTGTGTTTCTTAATGAATTGGTTGATACGCTGCCACGGTCCACAAATTTAGAACAGAGATAATCAAGGCCGTTAAGTGATTTATAGCTCTTTGAACCTCTCGTTGGAAATCCAGTTTTTCTTTCACCCAAGAAGTTTAAAAAGATAGTCGGCACTAGTGTCAAAGCTGGAAAAAGTCAAAACCCGTACCACCCGCTTTTGTAGTTTTGGTAATTTGGCATCAAGGGTCTTACACCAATTACTCCAAATCGCACTGCAGTAATCAAAATGAGGTTGAATCAATCATGAACTGCAGGGTACTGAGAGAGGCAAAAGGTCGAATACGTTTTAGGGCCCCAATACTGGAGGCAATTTTCGTTGATAAAATTTCTCGATATGTTCATTTCAAGACAGAGTTTCGTCAATTAGCACTCCAAGTGACTTCGCACACGAGACTTGTTTAGTAGAAGCACAATTAATTGACAGAGATGAGATGGGGCAGTCTCGATATTCTTTAATATTCGCCTGGAGCCTATCAAGAACATAAACTCTGTCTTGGATTCAGATTCAGTTTGTTAGCAATGAGCCAATCACTGATACTAACTAGAAATATACGTTATGCAAAATCCTCGGTAAGCTTTAAAGGATCAGCAGTGGGAATAAAGGAAACAAGCGAAAGGGAAAAAAATAATCAAAAAAACTAAAAAGAAAAACAAAAATGTACAAAGTCTAGAAGTATAACTTCCCCGGGATTCGAACTCCCTCCCTCCGAAACTTGGATTCTTGACCACTGCACCAAGCAGCCACTGAATAATTGTTACGCTCGTCTGGATTTTTTATGGAGGATACCTCCCAAGTTTGAGCATTAACTACGTCGGCATGAGTAAGTATATGGCAAAAAGTTACCACAACGTTTTATATAAAGATGAAAATTTCTTATGATCGGGGTTTTATTGCAAGCGGAGTAGCCATGGCAATGTAATGACGCCATTTTGTTTTTTATTTATTTTTATCTTTGTGTTTCTCTGTACCAGGAGTTTTTTTTAAGCTTAAGGGAGTATATACCTGTCCTAATTGCCTCAATTATGGCAAAGTTTGAAAAAATTATATTAGAGCGTTTTCGAAATTAATATTTTGAAACGAAGTTTTAAAAATCATAAGTGAAATAACATGGTATCCACACAATTAGCTAATATCTTATTAAATAATATAAGAAAATGATAAGTTTTGGAAACGCGGCTTCATGCTTTATCTCATAGTGGTTTTATTCCATTGAAAACTGCGTACAAAAAAAGACGGGAATTGCTCTGGGCGATCGCGAGTAAGAAGAATTTTATTTACTTGCATTCAGCGCGGCTTTTGCTACACAGTTTTTGCGCGTAATTTTGTCCATTCCCGGCTACTATTTCGCATTTTTCAAAAAAACCGCTGGATAATTTTTTTTATAAATTTGACAATCTCGACATCAATTGTCAATAAATATACCCTGCAAGTTTTAAGAACATTGAAAACAGGGAAGGCTTTTAAATAGGACCTCAATTATAACCAATTTTTCCCCAAAATTTTGTGTTTACAAGTGAGCGTCTTTTTTTATTCACTGGCATTGTTTCAAGTTTCTGCATATGCTCGTGCACATTTAGCAAAAAGATAGCATTTGTATAAAAAAAGACCCTGGGTTAAATCTCCGGAATATGCTAATAACTGAGTAAAGAAATAGTGATACATTATAACATCACAGCAACACTAGGTAAGAGTTTCTGTGATGTTATAACCCGAGTAAGATAATTAAGTATTGCACCCTACACGATGAAACGGGACGTTAACCGTTTCGGCTCTCACTGTTATCTGTAACACAAGCCAATTATTAGCTTATTCCAGATATTTCTTTGGAAAGTAATCAAGAGTTCTTTTTGATGCAAATTTATTTCTTTGCTAGTTGTGCACGTGCATATGAAACTTGAAAACAATGCCAGTGAATAATGAGGACACTTACTTGTAAACACAAAATCTGGGAGAAAAATTGGTTATATTTGAGATACTCGAGTCCTATTTAAAAGCCTTCCCTGTTTTCAATGTTCTTGTAACTTGCAGGGTAAATTCATCGACAATTTATCTCAGGATTGTCAAATTTATTAAAAAAAATTATCGGCGGTTTTTTGAAAAATGCGAAATTTGAAGTAATGGACCAAATTACTTGCAAAAACTGTATCAAAAGCAGCTGAATGCAAGTTAATATAGAATTCTTCTTACTGGCGATCGCCCAGAGCAATTCCGCTCGTCTTTTGTACGCAGTTTTCAATAGAATCAAACCACTATGAGATGAAGCCGTGTTTCCAGAACTTACCATTTTCTTAAAACATTAGCTAATTGTGTGGCTAGCATACTTTTTCACCATTCTTATGATTCTTAAAACTGCGCTTCAAAATAGTTCAAAAACGCTCTCATATAATTTTTCAAACTTTGCCATAATTGAGGCAATTATGGCAGGTACAAACTCCCTTAAGCGATTTCTTTAAAAATCTTCCGGTACAGAGAAACACAAAGATAAATAAAAAATGTCATGGCGTCGTTACGTTGCCATGGCGACTCCGATTGCAATAAAACCCCGATCATAAGAATTTTCCATCTTTATATAATACAGTTGTGGTAACCTTTTTCCCACATCTTTACTCATGCCGACGTAGTTAATGCTCTAACTTGGGAGGTATCTACCAAAAAAATCCAGTCGAGCCACTTTAAAGCAATGCTCTTTGCCGTGAACGTTGTTTGAAGTTGGCGGAGCTGCATTTATCATGAATTCAACGATACATTTGAGGAAAGTTAGGTTAAAGGCGTATTTCGTATTTTCTCGCCTAACGGCTCGTGAAATTACGTAAAACAATTTCGAAATATCAATCGTGGTATTTACGCCAAATATCACTACAAATCATGCTATTAACTATACTAATTCACTCTCGGGTTCAACTGCGGATGGACTCGGTACGGAGTTGAAGCCAGTCTTTAATTTGATGAATCGGTCACATCGATCGGCGGGCAAAGAACGAATTCATTGTTGGTTTGGCTCAGTGTAACACGACTTCAAAGGTACAGAAGTTAGGGAAAAGTAAGGTTTCGAAGGTTTAAAAAGCCGAAGAACGCACTTTTAAATAAAACATGATAGTGCACCACAGCATTTGCATTCACCCTTAAAGTAGCGTTGCCTGGCAACCCTAAAATGCACCTAAGAGATCTATAAAAATATTCGCAACTCGAGTTTCCGCCTCGCTGAGCGATCAACGCGCGAGGCGCGCGAGAAATTCACAAACCTCGCTTCGGTCAGAATAAGATCTTGATTTAGATAAAGGTCAATACACTCGATATTATTAGAAGCAGAGGTTAGATGAGTGTCATCTGCATACATACGAGGCTGACAATGGGAAAGACAATTTGGGAGGTCGTTAATATAAATAAGAAACAGTAGAGGCCCCAAGGTTTGTTCCCTGAGGAATGCCGCAGCGAACAGTTGTCAGACAACCATTCACGAAGCATTTTGATTACGATCACTTAGATAGGACTTAAACCTATCATTGGAAAAACCTAGAATGTCGTATTCATATAGTTTTGATAAAAGGATGCCCTTGTCGATGTTAAAAGCCCAATTGTCGGTAGCCTCGAGTAGAGCAGTGACAGTCGAGTGAAGCTGACGGAACCCTGACTGGTGACTAGAAAGTAAATTATTAACGGTTTAAAAGTGTGTGAAGACCTGATCGTAAACTATTCTTTCCATTACATTCGCCACAACAGAAATAATTGAGATTGGACGATAGTTTTGTGAGGAATCAATTTAAAAAACACCTCCAATCATCAGCAAGAACACCAGAGATAATACAGCGATGAAGATGGAACAAAGATAGGGTGCAATCAGGTCAGCACATTCACGAAGCAGTCTCACAGAGATCTGATCCAGGCCAGTAACTTTAGGTTGACTCAATTCAGATAAAAATGAATAAACAATAGCTACATCCGGCGTTTGTTTCAGCACGAAGTAATTTTCATCATCAAGATAAAGACTGAGATATTCTAAGAGAGAACTATTACCATTGGGTGTGACGCTAGCTAACTTTAGCTCGATACTAGTCAAGTGGCAATTAAGGGTTTCGGCTAACTCCTGTGCATCAACAATAGAATGGCCATTCATTTTTATCCTATTTACACTCGAATTAGTAGGTTTTCTTGCTTAAAGCTCATTCACGATTCTCCAGGCCGTTCGTGGTTCCCCTAACTTGAAATGCATTATCGTCGCCCAATCCTTTGGCCCTTTTAATTTCAGTATTTACAGAATTGCGGCATTCTTTTTAATTTAACCAGTCTCTAGAGGAATTTGAAAGCACAGCAGAGCTTTTTGTTTGAAGGTATCTCGTTCATACGTGTGTTGTTTGAGCTGAAAAGTTTTCCAAGGTGAACTTTTAGCCCGAACACGTTTACGTTTAGAACACAAAAGAGCATGCTTGTCCACAACCTTAATAAAAACATCTCTTTCCAAGCACGCCACATATCATTTAGATTATCGAAGTGATCTATACAACCCCAATGCCGTGAATTTTGAAATATCATTCCGAAAACGTCGTGTGTCGAACAAAAGCATCGAAAATAAGCATTTAAACTTTCTGTAAGTCAGTGCGCATGCGTGCGTGATGGTCTGATCGCGTTCTATCTCCTTGCTAGATAAAAGGGAGGTTCAATTCATTTTGCTAAGCAAGCTAATTGCTTTTTTCCCGCCAGTTTTACGTTTTTGCCGTCGATTTGATCCAACCTCCTTTAGTTTTCCTCAAGAAAGTATCTTTGCTAGGCTAGGATCGGAGTGTTCATTTTATGTTACCCTCAAACGAGGGTAGCCTCTCACGCAGATCCTGGGGTCACCAATTATTGGCGAACAAACCCCGCCCCAACGTGGCGAAGGAACGCGTGACGAACCCCTAAGAACGTCTGCGTGGGAGGCTAACACGAGGCTTGAAATCATAGGTTTCTATTATCAGCATTGTTCTGTTTAGGGGTTTTAGATACTAGTTGGGTAGATTGATCCTAGTACTCATTCTAAAAATCCCGGTAAAAATTTCCCTCGCCTATAGCTACCGTCTCGTTTAATCCACTCAACTGACTCAGTGTAATCTCTTTTTAATTAGCTGTGATAACTACAAGTGACATCAATCTGAACTATGTCAGTCTACTCTTCAAGGACTTGACCACGATGAAACAGTACGTCATGATGGCACAAACTGGCACAAGCGGCAATATAAACATAGAGGCTGTGGTAAAGTTATTTGTGATTAATTTAACATGACTTTCGTTGCCAATAAAGAATGAAGATGATGTGAACTGCAGAAATACAATTTTAATTGAAGATATGATCGTTGGTAATTGCAATTAAAATAATTGCAAATAAACCAAAACAAAACTTCGGGACTTAGAGCTGTAAGCCATAGGTTGGAAGCAGGCCAAATTGTTGAGTTCATCTTAACCCTTGAAAGGAATTAAACATAGAATGAAGATGATGTGAACAAAAGGAAATATAAATTTAAATAAGAGATATGAACGTCACCTATGTTGGGTACTCTTAATTTTGCCACTGTCACGCTCCTATAATGCAATTTCTCCGTGGCACAAAATCTTGCACAAGTATTGTTTTCAATTTCTCCAAAGAACCAACAATCGTCCGACGGTGGGAAACACAACTTATATAATGGTCCAAGGCAGTTTCAACTATGGGCCGAACAACAGTGCGACAATGTCATATGGCGCGAATTATTAATATGATTAGACTTTGGGTCAAAACGAAGTTCATTCAGCACTAATATTAGACAGGTAGAGGTCCGGTGGAGAAACCGATCAATTTTCGAAAGGAATAATACGTTGTAAATAAACGTTTCGTCTAAGAAATATTGAAAGAGGGACCGAACAACAATGCAACAATGTCATATGGCGCGAATTATTAAAAAAATTAGACATTGGGTCAAAACGAAGTTCATTCAGCACTAATATTAGACAGGTAGAGGTCCGGTGGAGAAACCGATCAATTTTCGAAAGGAATAATACGTTGCCCCCTGACTCTCTGTTTTTTTTTTTTTTTTTGCGGGGGGACGGGGGAACGGAAGGACCTATATACCGTAAATTATTGAAGTCGTTTCAAACACCGCGGGGAATGGGGGGGGGGGGGGGGCTGGTTTACTTCAAGCCCATTTGAGGGAGTGTTAACAGAGACGGGAGGCTTATTTGAGAGGGGGAGGGCTTGTTTGATTTAGAAACGACGATGGTATCAGTTCTCCATAAAGAACTAGAATACAAAGTGGAAAAGCTCAAGTACAAGACGTTTGGAGGTCATTCTAGCAGCAAATTAAAGGATCAGAATCAAATCGGAACTTCCAGTTGGTAAATAAACCATCCGAGAGTAGTCCACACGAAGTTTTGCAGTCATAATTGATTAATACAGTCCATCATTTCTTAGTGGAGAAAAATTAGGAGAGGGGAGGGGGGGGGGAAGCTCATTGAGGGGGAGGGGCTTAATAAAGGATTTACGGTACTGTGGCTTCAGCCCACTGAATAAAAAACTGTGTTTAGTGGGATTCACTAGGTAGACGTGCTGTGCGATACCCTCCCCACCCCCATGAAAACAACTGTATCCCTAGCCTCCCACAGACACATACTAACCACTGGCTAATGAACGTACATTTTCCTAATCTTAAGATGAAAAGCGAAGTTGTCAGTAAGTATAAACAGTGTGTTAATACTCATGCCATTTTATCGTCTTCATATATGTGAAATACTTAGATTAAGTAATGGTGCTGGCAGGGTTTCAGAGTTTACACTCCTTATAAGCTAGGCTTTTGACACATTAATAGTCTTTATTATTATTATTATTATTATTATTATTATTATTATTATTATTATTATTTATTATGTCTACATTTCAGGAAACTTCCTCTGACTCAGGACCGTATCCCGACGAAGCAAAATTTGCACCTGACCACTTTTGGAGTTATACCATTTTCCGGAACAAGTTCTACAACCAAAAGTACTTGGGCTGTGATGGCACTGGCAACATGACACTGGTGGATATGGCCTTTCTACATTATCCAAATCCCCAAGCTCTGTTTATTCTGAACAAAGTTCCAGATTCACTCACAAAGTAGTCCAGTTAATGGAGTTGAGAACCTCACGAAAGAGCTTTTGTTCACCCTGTTTGTTGCAAATTTTATTTTAGTCGCCTCTTTAAGACATTTGAATTTTCAAATTAGTTTCAGCAATCAAGGTTTTGTTGAAGTAAAATACGTCGGCGTGGGCTTATAATTTGATTATACCAATACAAATTATGCTCACAGGACACTTAGTCGTTTGTAATGTAGTTAGAGTTGAGTTTCATGGTATCTCTGCCGAAATATTGGCAGTAAATGTGTGTGCTTCAGGATACTAAATAAAAGTTTTAAGTATCTTACTGCCCTTTCTTGTTGTGTCGTGTCTAGCTCAGAAAAAGTGAATTTTAAAAGCAATTTTAAGATGTGAATCACGGCCAGGACACTTAATGACGAGCCAACCTATTCAAGCCCTTCTCGGCTCTCTGTCAACCACAACAACATGCTCAGCCCATGATAAACATTGTTGGGATGAGGCTGGACGGTGGCTGGACTTGATTACCAGCCGCTGTTCTGGAAATGAGCCCACGCTCTTCCCTCCACAACAAAGGCGCGTCACCCCGATCAATCAAACCACTCATCTCTTCTTGGGGAGGAACAAGATAGGACCCGAAAGTGCGAGGAAAATCTAGATTATGGCGGGAGCGCTGGGAGCAGGCCAAAGTCGATTAGCGCAAAGGTCCGGGTTGAGTACCGGATATAAAGGAAACGACTTGTACTGAAGGAACCGAGTGCCATTTTCGAAAAAAGTATGGCAGGCGTCAAGGACATCATTGGTTTGACAACTCATAAGCGCTGCGCTCCCTGAATGGAAAGTCCCGGGGAACACGCGGCCACATTTCGTCTGGGCACACGACAGCACTTCGGGCTCTTCGGTTGACTAGAATAACCTACCCGTTGGATATACTCATCTAGTGCTGCCTTGTCCGAGAGGTGTACTCACGATCACAAGTTGTTTGTACAGGGTTGCTTCGCTCTGAGGTCCAAACCAGCTTCAAAATAGACCTGTTTACCTATACGGCGGTCATATTGAATTGATTAGATCTAAGGAGTATTATGGGCTACCTAGGGGGCATGAACACGATACTATACTCGCTCAATATTTACGCACGCTTTTCGGGGTAATTTTTCGCATAACGTTTAGCTAGAATAAGATTGTAATGGGAAAAAAGATCGTTGTGCCGAGTTTGGATGTAATAATGATCGCCTTTTTCCCGATAAATACTACAGTGAAAGACCATAGTTTCTTTGGAGTGTCCACAATATTGTTTCTTTTTTTCTCTCGCTGTATAGAATCAGTATCTGACTTCTTCTTCTCAGTCTTAATTGGTTGTACTGGAAGCCTGTTGATGGGAGCTTTTCTCTTACGTGTCACTATTTCTCGATTATAACCCTTTAGAAAGAACGTGGGATGAGGATGACTGTACTGTCAACTGGTCTTCCGCAAAATTTAAAATGATTTGAGCAAACTTTAGCATTTTTGTTCACCTTAAATCCCTTCCGGTTCAGTAGTCTCGTCCAAGTAGCCAAGGGCCTTGGTTCCTTGCAAAAGCAGAAACGTACCTCTGAAGAAACTGGTATGCTCTTTCACCATATATTTCTCGACAAAACGGTGATCATTATTACATCCAAACACGGAACAACGATCTTTTTTCCCATTGCAATCTCGTTCTAGCAAAATTTTAAGAAAAATTGCCCCGAAAAGCGCGCGTAAATACTGAGCGAGTATTTTTTTTT